TTATGTTATCCTTCTTTTATTCTTTAAAATAAAAAAAAAAAAAAGAAAGAAAAAGAAATGAGAACACGAGAGGAAACACAGTTGGCTGAGGGATGTGGCAGAACTTCAGAGAAATTTTGAAGGAAGACCTAGCTCAGTGCCTGAAGTGTGCAGTCCCTGGGCAACCCTGGACTTGATGAGCCAGACTCTGTTGAACATGCCCTCCAGGTTACTCTGATGCTCGAAACTACTGCCTTGGCCTCGAGGCCAGGCTGAGCCAAGTACGACTCTGAAAGAGAGGCCACTAATTCAGAGGACAGCCCCGCAAGAAGAAAGCTGGGTCCCAAAGCACCCCAACCCATCACTTATACTCTGTCACTCGAGGTGCTTTCTCCTGTGCATCATCGAGTGAAGGTTAAGCACCAACCCAAACACCCTGAGCCAGAACGCCGAGGGGCGGTGACAGGGCCACCACGCTGTGCAGCCAGCCCCGTGTCTGAGGCCCCACCCTCTGTCAAATGGAAGGATCACCATGCTGACCGCGGGGCCTGACGGGACACCGGGGCACTCGCCTGAAGCACCGACTTGGCACCAGCAGAGGAGCTCTCCGAATGAGGCTCACCCTTCCTGCGGCTAACCAGGGAGAAGCTGGGGTTGTTCACCCCAGAAAGGGACAGTGTGAGACCCGCGCATCCCCGCACAGCACTGGAAACGTCCACACAGCGCTCACAGATACACGATGAATCTGGAAACCAGAATTCTCTCCAGAAAGAGGGGTGATGGGGGAGAGCCCTTCACAGGCAACCAACAGTCATGGTACTGGCTCTCATCCAGGCCCTTCTTTACAACATCAGGAGCCAGTCTTTGGGCTGCTAGGACAGCCCGCAAAAGATGGACAGGAAGGGAACTGAGGCCACAAAGAGCTCTCACTACAATCCCTGCCAGAACAGTAGGCCCTAAAACCAACAAGAGGCCAGGCAGAGGAGCCACACAAAAGCGAGCAAGTCGCTAGGGCAGGGATGAGATCTTGGGCTTAGCCTGCAAGACAGTGTCCAAGGAACTGTTCAAATGGTCTTTGCCTTCCAACACCTGCTCTTCACCAGGCACTGAGAGGGAACTGTCCCTATTCCCAAGGAAAATGAGGTTGTACCTTTCTATCATCTCGAAGTTTCTCAGAAGTGTCTCTCTGTTATTGTGCAACACAGCACCATGACGTGAACCAATCTGGTGAATCACCACATCAGGGCCAGCCTACACTACTTTTTTTCATCGGCTAAATACCCCAGGACTAGCGCTTTCCATCAAGCAGCTCCACTGAGGCCAAGTCCCACTGCATAAAAATACATGGATTCCCAAGAGCTCCACCAAAGTTAGGGTCCCAAGACACCGCCCACCATGCCCAGGGCGACCCAGAAACGCACCAGCAAGCTAAGATGCAGAGGCCCGTGAAGAGGACGATGGGGACGGGGTAGGAGGCACAGAGCAGCCCGTGGCTGTAGAAGGCCTGAGAAATCTTCTCACGCAGCCGTTCAGTCAGGGTCATCCTCAGCTGAAGTCACGTTGCTGCCATCCCGGGAAGTGACCATGGATCAGCCTGGCAGGTGCTGGGCACCAATGACAAAGGACACCATCTGCAGGTACCTGGCCGGAAGAGACAAAGGCCATTAACGAAGAGTTCTTGGCTTTGCCCACTCAGTTCGCTGGAGGAGAGACAGGAATGTGCTGCAGAATGGTCTCAGGATGCCCACATGTAAAGTCTGAAGAGGGGCCTCCTGACACACACACGAACACACACACACACAGTCACCTCTCAAGTGAGCATGGGCCACGTTCTGCATCAGTCTAACCAAAGAAGCCAAGGAGCCTCCCCTGCAGCCCTATTTTACAAATTCTCAGCTTTCTGGAAGCCAGCATTTTTAAAAGGGCATCTTTCTCACAGGTGGCACAGGAAAACCACCTCTGGCTGGCCTCTGACAAGTGGGCTCTTTGGACACAGTCCTCTGTGCACAGGTTGGACTGAGGGAGATCTCAGGAAGAACCTTTGAAAGGGATGACCCCAAAATACATTCACGCACCAACAGTGATCCCTGATAAAGAACGTCCAGTGGGGTCAGTGCTCAACACAAAACCTCAGACATCTCAGCCCCCAAGATAAGAGTCACCAGATAAAATTCCCTCTGGTGCAGGGTTAGGCTGCAGCTTCTGCTCCTGGCCCTGCAGTTGTCCTGGGACCATGAGGGCAGGGGCCCCTCCTGCCCCCACTTGCCAAGCAGCTGTCCCCCTTTGAGTAACAGCAGCTCACTGTGGCTCAAGAGGACCCACTTCCCCATGGACTCAGAGTCAGTGAAGCCACCCCATCCCAAACCACAACACAGCAGCTGGGCCTTCCCCCAGACTCTGACCTCTGAGCAGCGGGAAGAGGGACGGGATACTGGCAGTGCCCGTTCATCCCCAAGAGCTTCCTGCTCACAAGATCCCTGGGTTGTGCTGGCTCCAGTCCTCTCTCAAGACTGGCTTATCAACTTTCCTTTCCAGACTAAATCTGCCCATAGCCTTCTAATAAATCTCTTTTCCCTATGTTAGCCAAAGTTAGTTTCTGTTGCTTGCAATTAAAATGTCTTGAACCAACAAAACCAAACAAAAAACTATAGCAGATCTAGAACTACTAGGGATCTAGAATTCTCTTCCTAACTGAGCTCTCCAAGTCAAGTTTAAGTCTATTCCATGTTGCTGCTTCTTTGGTTTGTGCTACAGGGAACCTGCCCAGACATGTGTCTTGGCTTGATTATCCTCCCTGGTGAAAAACCTAGGCTGAGAAATGACTCCAAAGTGTCAAGACCAGAACTGAGAAGCAAAAGTCAACCATGACTAATTCACAAGCAAAAGAACAGCTCTGACTCCCTCCACCTTCCTGGAAGCACCAACCGGAAGTATACATGCCATGGTCATCTGGGAACCTTCTACAGAAACACAAAGAAATCCCTGTGGATCCATTCAATAGGCAAAGAGCAGAGCAGGCAGCAGGTGACAGCAGCTGGTCAGAGCAGCAGAGGTGCTCACAATAGCTCCGCTACTCCTCAGACCATGACAAGGCCTCGAGCCAAGGACCCACTATGGTGCTCAGCATGAAACTTCCTGCTCCTGCACATGCCATCCTCCCCATAGCTCCCCAGAGGACAACAGACACGCAGGACTTCTGCATCTGCAGAGACACACTATGGGGACCCCTGTGGACAGGCAACGAGGAACCAGCTCCAACTTCCTTGACAAGCCTCACACATTTCCCTTAAATGTCGCCTCACATCATGTCCTCCACAAAAATCCCCTCCCAAACTTCTCCTGTCCACATGCTGGCCACAAGGAGAGGGCCAGCCCAACTCTTCACACTTAGAACTGTTCACAGGAAGCCAAAGCCATCTAATCTATGTTCACCCTACAGTCAACACAAACCTGACTTCCTCTGATCCTTACTATGCTAGCTGTTGATCTTCATAGCACCTGGGGAACAGATACAGATTCTGGTTCACTACAATCAAGTCAATCAGCCCACCTACCTGAACCGAGCAAGAGGAGATAACTATTCATCTCTGCTCCACAGCAAAAATTTTTACGCAAAGCTCTCCCAAAGCAAAACTTACCCAACCTGCATGAAAAAACTAGTTTTTTTCTATTGACCCACACTTTGCTTCAGATCAAAATCTACAGCTCTGTTTCCTCAATGTCTTGTCCTGAAGGACTAACTGAACCAATTACATAAAAACTTAAGCAATCCTGCCTTTGCTATTATGAAAGACCCCACTATAAGCAAAAACAAAGGAGCTTGTTACTAGAAACCCAAGTTACACTCTGCTTTCTTAGATCACTTACAAAAGGCATTGATAAAGCATACTTCCCTGGATCCCAGTTCAGTAGAGGGACAAATTATTCTTAAAGGTAAGTTTATTACTCAGTCAGCCCCATGTAGTAGAAAAAAGCTACAAAAAATGGCTTTTTCCCCACATAGCTCACTTGAGATGTTAGTAAGAATTGCCTCCTCAGTATTTTATAGCCATGACGAGGAGGAGACCAAGGAGAGAAAACAAAGAGACCGAGAAAAAACAGCTGCCTTTGCTGCAGCACTAAGAGAAACAGACCCTAAGTCTGATTCTTGGGACCCCAAGAAGAACTCATCGACTACATTCATCTGCTACTGCTGTTAAAAGCCAGGCCACCTCAAGAGGGACTGCCCTAAGAAGCCCCCTGGGCCATGTCCTGACTGTAAAGGTGACCACTAGAGGTCGGACTGCCCTCTGAAGAAAAGGCCCCAGAGTTCAGACCCATCTTACCAGCTGGACCAACAGGAATGAAGGGGCCCAGGGCATACTCTGCCTTCTCCCTCTGGCCAGACTGTTATCTTCAAGGAGGAGCCCCGTGTAATCATGACTATACAGGAAAAAGTAAACAGCCTATTGCTGGACACTGGTGCTAGTCTCTCGGTCCTTCTTTTCAATCCCGGCCTACCTTCCAGCTGTCACACCTCCGTGAAAGGAGCCACTGATGAGGAGGTAATCTGCTATTTTTCACAACCCTTAGGCTGTAACTACTTGTTAGATCTTTCTTGCATATCTCCGTTTTCCTGAGAAACCACTTTGAAGATATCAACATGTATTACAGCAGCCACTGATAATTTCCTACCAATATGTCCATAACTCTGTGATGTTTGTATTGTTCCTATGCTATTTCGTAAATGGATGCATGTTTATTACTATGTGTTTCCAACAACAACCACTGAGAATAGTCAATGATTATTTAATTGATCACTCATGTATAGCTCTATTTGTTTTCTCTAGAAACCACTTTGAAGATACCAAAGTATAGTACAACAACCATTGATAATTTCCTAACCACTTTTGTCTGTAAATCACTATTATGTGTCTGTTTGTTTTCCTGAGAAACTATCTTGAAGATAACAATAGGTAAAGTAACAACCATTGATAATTTCCTACCACTTCGTCAGTAATTCGGTAAGTCCCCCTATTATATGTTATCCTTCTTTTACTCTTTAAAACAAAAAGAAACCCAAACTACAGAATCGTACAAGCAAGGAACAAACACTGCTAGGCCAGGACGGAAGAAGAGCCCTGAAGAAGCCCAACAGAGGATAAGCCCAAGTCAAGGCACTCTCAAGAGGGGCTCGAGATGAGGGGCGTAAGGGCAGGGAATGAGTGTGAGCCCCCTGGGAAGGCAGGCGCATCATCGCACCTTATCCTGTGCTGGCTCGGAATGCCCAGGTCCCTCAGGCATCCCAAACGAGAGGGTAAATGTAGGAGTTTAAGATCCATTCACACACACTATATGTGTATATATAAACATATGACATGAAAGAAAAAGAGATGATGGCCTAGCTTGTGCCTACATTCACTGAATTCTCAGGAACTCTATATCTCTTTTCAACCAACTCACACATATTAAGAATAAATGAAGAGCACCTGAGATAGAGGGCTTCCCTAACTGTTGTGAGGCCGTGTGTGTGTGTGTTGTTGTTGTTGTTGTTGTTGTTGTTGTTGCTGTTGTTGTTCAATCCCCAGGAGACAAGAAAGAAAAAGAGAATTAACCAAGAAAAATAAAGATGCTAAAAGCCTGAGGGAGGTAAAGACCACAGGTGAGGGATGGAAAGGTACAAAAAATATATGCCTCCAGGTGTGGTGGCCAGGTGTGGTAGGACACTCTGGGACACTGAAACACAACTGCCAATTGCAAGTTCGAGACTAGCCTAGGCACTATAGCAAGACCCTGTCTCACAATTTAAAAAAAAAAAAAAAATTTTTTTTTTAAAGGGACTGGGACGCAGTTCCACACAAAGGCCTAGGTTCAATTCCCAGTGCCACAGCGGGAGAGGGGACACTACACCGACAGTAGGTCTGTTACCAAAGGTCAGTTCCTGAAAATCCTAAGCACTCCCCAAACCTTGGGCCTGTCACGCTTGTCCTGACCACAGCTTACTGAGTTTCATTTCTCTGGAACAATGCTTAGAGGTGCACTTGCTGAGATGTCCGAAGTGTTCTGAGAAATTGCTGGAATATCCTACAGTGTCTACAACATTTCACACTCCCATTGGCAGCATAGGAGAGATCTGAAATCTCCACTTTCTCAGCAGCATCTGACATGTACACTTTAAAAATTTTTTAACTGTACTAATTGGTATCTATTGATATTTAATTGGGTATTAACTTGCATTTATTTCCCTCACAGCGAGTGATGCTAATCACTTTTCATGTGTTTAATTTGTCATCAGTATATCTTTTTCCATCAAATGTTTCTTTCATTTCCTCTGACATGTTCTAATTGGATTTTTAAAACTGTAAGACATTTTTAAATACATTAATTAAGGTAAAATTCACAAAGCATAGAAATCACCCTTTTAGGATACTAATGGAATGGTAAAACCATTTCTGCTATCTAACTCCAGAATGTTTCTATTACCCCCAAAAGAAATGCCATACACATTTGGAATCACAACCCATTCCCTTTGCCATCTACTAATTTTTTGGCTTCAATGGATTGGTCTGTTGTAGACATTTCATATAAATGGATTCGCATAACGTGTGACTTTTGGTGACTGGCTTCTTTCCCTTAGCACCAACACCAAGCTGTGGCAGATA